GCTCAAATTCATCATTAAGATGGAAAAAGTTGCTAAAAGCATCGTGAATCAATAGAGTGCTTATAAAAATAAGCACATAAAAGGGGGGACTTGCAATAAGCCATTTTTTCCAAAGTATTTAGAGACTATTATATGAAAAAGATTCCACAGTGATTACTCTACTAATGTGACTTCACAAGGCATTATTATCCGTAATAATTTTTTGAGCATTTAAACAAATTCAGATCATTTTGCTTGGTTTTGGCTTTGTTGGTTTGTTGTATTTGGTTTGGTTTTTGCAAGAGTTCTGGTCTACCCACAGTAATTCTATCTACTAGTATTCAATAGGAGTAAGAAGCCAAAGATGTAAATTGTGTTTCATAGTAAAAAATAAAAACAAAAGCAAACTTCTCATTCTATACTTGCACTAATGCATCCAGGGAGTGCTTCGATTAACTACTTCAGGAATGGTTCTATTTGTCTTATCACATTATGAATGCCCTTCAAGAGATACACTCAGGACATACGTTAATTCTCACTCCCCAAGATCTCTAACAATTAGGAGGCTACTAAGTCACATCTATTTTTTTTTTGTCACTTTAAACATTTTTTGGGAGTAAACAAGGTACCAAGGTAAAATAGCTGCAGTATCAAGTGTTGTGCCACAGAATAGCCCACTAGGAAAAATGCTGTAACAAACTTAGTTTGCTGCAATTCAGTGTTACTATGGAATATTGTCTATCCCTGTCCACCTTCAGAAAAGAACACACTCATATTTTTTAAAAGTCACAAGGAAAGAAATTCTAGACTTCAGTTTTTGATTTATTTCCTTCAGATTATCAAACGCTTAATTTGACTTGACTGATTGGCCATCACTAGGCAATCTCACTATCCCCATATCACTCACATGTCAAAGGAAAGTGATAACATAAGAGTATGTGAACACTCAAGATTCTGCTGAATATGCCTGACAGTTTAAGTACAAAGCTGCTTATCTGCATAAGACTTTGTTGCTATAAATCAATAAAGAATATTCACCATAAGTAATTTTTATAATAAACATATATATCCTATGTATGCATGTATGCTACATCCATAAAGATGGTATATATAATCATTTAAGATAAACTAATCCATTGGATTAATGCATGTTTACATATATGATACTTATATAATATATGCACATATAGGGTATGTATCCAATTTAAGATAAGCTACAATAATAAATTATTTCCAAGGCATATTGTAGCTACAATTATTTAAATTCTGACTAAATGTCATTCTCTAGCTCCAACTGAATTTTTTGAAAAGTTTTAGTTAACCTAAAGTGTATCAGCTTCTAAATATTTTATTTTCTAGTCAGGTTTTTTTATATTAAGCCATTCTAAATTGAGGCTATTGCCAGTATTAAGTTTATAGCTTTGATATAAATATCCTGCAAAAGATCACCTTGAAAAATTGCATTGGGTCTGGTTGCAAGTTGATTACATGTAGATTTTGAAGACAATAAGCCCAAAAAGGAAAGAATATAGGTTCTTATCATTTAAAACCATATAATCAGTTCTTTTCCAACAAAGAGCAGAGGAACCTTGGTAAGTCTTCTCTGCTAAACTTGATTGTTGAATTTTGCCACTTTTGCTGTCAGTATGAATCATCTTTGGAGAAAGAAAAATAGAAATGTTTCTTGACTGGGTAAGCAACAGCAGGAAGAAAGTGAGAGAATAAACACCTTACTGTTAATTTCTTCCTGTTTCCCCCTCCCACTCCCCCCGCCCCGGAGCTGTTGGTAAAAACAGCACAAATGAGACCCTCATTTGATACTGGAAAAAAATTCTGAAATAACTTGTTCACCTGGCTCCTTACCACTGTTAATAATTCATTTTACAAATTAAAATTCCTCACCTAGGAAGTTATATAAGACTTCTCTGCTCACCGGGAGCATTATAATTCTTAATGTTTCTGTTTCAAGGGATAATTTTTATTTTTTTTCCTCAGAGATAAAGAAAATTTTCATTTATTCTAAAATATCTCACATTAGATTTTATTATTGGTTCCCAAAAATGACACTGTTCGTCTATCACCTATGATGAATGAAAAACTGGCATAGTAGCGGTCAATTCATTTTGAAAGTATTTTAGCATTACCTTTCTTTCTCCTTATAATTAAGTAAGCCATAAATCAATCCAACGTAACTTGAACAGCAGAAATAGAAATTTGCTTCAAATAAGTAAAGGGGATGGTGATTCTATGACTTAAGTACCAGTATCTCTTTATACTTGAAGAACAAAATCCTTCTAAAACACACACACACACACAACTTTATATTAACACATGAAAAGCAATTATGATAAATATCCCTTTTGGAATTGTTCCTGCATGTTTTATTCCTGACCCAAAGAACATAAAATAAAATAAATGAATCACTGGTCTCAAATTGTTTCCCTGTCTCTTCCCTCCAGGATTCTCTTCCAGACACTCCCATTTTCCAATTTCTCCCACTGTATACTCAGTATTGTATGGGATATTGAAAATACCCAAATAGGGGTTTTCATGAACAGACCAAAGTTTTGAGTATTTCTGGTGTATGTATTTGGAGTGGATGTGTGTTTGGTGTGGGAATAGTATGAACTTGCGGTTAATACGAAGCAAAATAAAGGAAATTAAAGGTAGGTACATAGGACAAATTAGTATGATGCTAGACATGCCAAAAAATAGCATATTACAGACCCCAGTTATGACAAATAAAGGTATCAAAGAGCCAGGCTGAAGAAAAGGGGCAAGGAAGGGACAACTACAGAAAGGTGGGTGCTGGACCTGCGGTGTCTGTGCACACCGCAGAGTGGCAAGCTGGGAAGTGGTGGGTGGACTATGTCATCCTCTCTGCCCTGCATCTTGGGCTCTACTAATGCTATTTCCTTCAGCTACAAATCAAAAGAATAAGAATAATCCCAGTAAACTCCAAGGCAAACATTTTGGGATTCAGTTGTCCCTTGACTGACACATTTGCCAATAGATTTGTAATAAAACTAGATTGAAACTTTTATTCAAGTGTATTTTATTTATTGAAATTTATCAGATATTATACTAGGACTTACAAGAATTTCCATCCTGTACCGAGAAATGAGACTCAGAGTGCCCTATAAAACATGCTGGAAAATACTTATTAGTGGATTTTCAAATCTTTCTGACAATCTGTTAACTTCTTGAGCAAAATGCTGACTTTTATCTGTTTTTGATTCATGAAAGGTTTATTGGCCTTCTTTCAATCATTTTTGGTGGCAGTTTTCTTTGAAGTAAAATTAAACAATCCCAAAGAATAGACAAAGTTACCCTGAGCTCCTCCCTTTGACAATATGCATACCTTTGTAAGATTTACTGCAATGATGTTAATAGTAGAATCTTTACCATGTGGATTAGGACTGCCACCACAACAAATCACCACAAACTTAGCTATTTAAACAACACAATCTTATTTTCTTACCATTGTGTGTGTCAAATAACCTACATGAGTCTCACTGCACTAAAGTCAAGATGTCCACAGCAGATGAGTTCCTTCCTAAAGTACTAGAGAAGAGTCTGTCTCCTGCTCACTCAACTTTGTTGAGAGATTTCAATTCATTATGGTTGTATGACCAAGATCTCCATTTTCTTGCTGATTGTCAGTTGAGAGCCATTGCCAGTTTCTGGAAGCCAGCTCAATCTTAGGCTCTTAGCCCCTTCTGTTTTCAAAACCAACAAGCTGGCAAGTCTCTCTCCTGATCTGAATATCTGTCTCTTCTCTCTCATTGCATATCTCTGACCCCCTCTTCTTCATTTGCTTTCCACTTTTAAGGACTCCTGTGATTAGACTGGTCCCACCTGAATATTCTAGGATAATCTCCTCACTTTGAGACCCTTAATGTAAAGAATAGAATTAGATGGTTAGTGGTGAATTTAATGTAGTAAGGGTGCCTTGGTGGTGGGAGTGATGTGGTGACTGTATCTGAAGGGTGCAATCCCACACCTCTGAATCATATACAATGTTGTATACTAATGTCACTTCAATTAAAAAAATAGATAAATGAATAAATAAGATAAATATGAAGTCTTAAAAGCAAATAATTAAATGAAAATGAAGTAAACCAGATTATAAAATCATTTTATGAAATGTAAAATGAAGGTGAAAAGATAACTAACACTATCATATTGCTTTTACTAAAATAATACTACATCAAAAAGTTAAAAAGTTTTAAAATAAAATCTGCTTAAAATAATGTTTATCTCATGTCTTAAAAATGTTGCATTTCTAAGTAGACATTAATGTAGCAGTAACCTGTATGACAAATAAATATATTGGTTCAAGTAAATATCCTTTAAAAAATATATATATATATATTTATAATGCATGTCCTAAGTTTTTATTTATAAGCTTAAGCTATCACATTGAAAATTATTATACTAAAAAGTTTATACTAAATACACTTGGTTGCAAAAGATCTATCAATATATCATCACATTTGCAACAGTTTTATAATTGGTAAATTGGGTCTGAATTTATTATCAATTTCAATTTGTCACTCAAAAACATAACAAAAGAATAATTACTAAGAAACCCAAAATACCACTTTTTCTATAAGCAACCTACTTTTGAGCATTGAACTTTAAAAGTCACAGGAACATTTGAGATAGGAGATTAGAGTATAAGAGATTTTACTTGCTGTTTATATTAATATATTATCCCTTTATCTCTTGCTGTGAAAACATTCCCCACAAAATTTTCTAAACAGGAACAGGCAGAAAACCTGTGGTACTTGACTTCTCTGTGGTTGCTGTGTAGTGGATACTTTTTGTGACTTAGTTGTAAGCAAGTCTTACATATTGTTAGTAAATGCATGATGAATTATGAATTAAGCTTCATAATTTTGTTTTTCTTTGGTAGAATGCAACATCCACCCAAGTCACACTGTTTATTCATGTGTGTGGGTAGTGGACACACATGCTATGTTCACATCAAAAATATAAATGAAATCCAATCCACTTACCAAACTATTCCCTGAGCCCCAGAGCCAATAGGCTTTAGATTCTGGTAGCGCTTGAGAACTGTGAAGGTTGAATCTCCCACTTCCACACTGTAGAATTGGTTGTCAACTTTGCTTTTGCTCATGTTGTAATGTTTGGCAATATATGACACATCCACTTGTTTATCAAATCCCTGTGAAAAAGAACAACAAAAACATGACACCAGTGAACAGAGAGATGAGATATAGAGAGGCTGGCCCTTTTAATGATTGCTAACACTTAACCACCCAGCAGCACTATGTAAGCCTGTATTTTCACAAAAGAAAAAATATATATTAGTCTGTGTAAAATAACCTGGAGTAAAAGAGCTCAGAAAAAAAATGCAAACAAAAATTTGCTTTCAATGTTAAAACTATTGATAATAGTTTTAGAGCTGTAAAACCTTTCTTGAAATGTTACTTTAAAACCACTTAATTATTTATGGAGAGAACATCTGAATGTAAACTGGTCCCAGAAACTATGCTAGATTCTTCAGAGAAATCCCTGATCAACCACTATCACCATATAAAGAAGGATAAAAGAGTGCATCCAAATCCCTTTACTAGAAAGAACTGAAATACAAAATAAAGTATAGTTTTAATTTTTAATTAGGTAAATTTGATAAATTGTGTTTTCAGTTGTTCTCAATATACCAAAAATACTATTATCCTGTATTAAACATTGAACAAATTTAGTTCAAATTAACATTATTCTAAAATGCCATATGACAACCTATTCTCTGGAGGTCTAGATTTTGAGCCTTCTAAACTCAAGATAACTGCATCTTGTGTTTATCTTGAAGAGAATGTTCTATTCATTCTGTCTAGCAATTGAAAAGTCTGTCCTTGAAATTTTTAATCATGCTTCATGAATATATAATGTAAATCCACTACATCTCCATGATTATTTACCCATGTTTATAGTGCAATTAATTACATTACATGCTATGGACTTTATAGCTAGAATGGGCTCTATTTCTGTAATTCCATATTGTCTAGTCTGTCCCCGTGGTACACACCAAAGGATACCTGCCCAGTAGTGATCCCTTCTTCTTACTGACTTTTTTCTGATTTTGAATTCTCACATGTACTTTGGATTCCTCCCTAATTCTAGCAATTGAAACTTGAATTATCTAAACCAGTTGTTCTCATTAGGAGATGGGAACTTGGGAGATTCGTGGCCATATGTTGTGGCCACAATGGTTGGAGATGTGGATTTATTTAGATGGTTGATCAGATAATGTTGTAATGAGTGAGACATCTGCAAACAATGAATAATTTCTCATATACCTCAAAACTCTTGAGGTATGCCAAAGCTTTAATTATTAAGAACCTGACTTTAATGTCATAAGCACAAAATCTAAACTTAAGGATCTCTGTATTACTCTAACAGACACTGACTTCTTAAAATGTAATTTTCTTATAATTTGAAAGCATATTTAAACCTTCTTAAGCTTGAAACGTCTGGTTGGTCATATAGCCATTTTCTTTGCAAAGTTTTGACATTTCATTTCTAAGTAAAAAAAAAAAAAAAAATGAAATAGACGCAGGAACAAATTTGCTCCTGAACAGGGAGTCAGGCAAGTTCCTGTAATGAAAAAAATCAGATGCAATGCAGATTTCATAGTTATTGATGGCAAAACCTGGGATTCCAGTAAAAGGGCCTTAAGACCCCAGACAAAACTCAAAGCAGAATCCATGTGATAGGCACCAGTCTGGTGTTAGAGAAATGGTGACAATCCAGTACAAATATACACAAACCACAAAGCATAAATTGGACTGTAGACAAGGAATCTAGGTTGTCTGGACAGAAGACTGAAAATTCAGGTAAATTATAAACAAAATAACAAGCAGTATGAAATCCAGAGGGCAGTCTTTACAGCATAGAATAGAAATTAAATAAGATACTCAGAAACAGGGCACTGGAAAACATATTCAAGAAAACTACAACAGAATTTGGCTTTTAGACAATGGGTATAGACAACAGAAGAAATAATATAACTGCATTAAACAGACATTAATTTCAACCATTGATCAGGAACAGATCGCCACACCACAGCCCATTTCTATTCTAGACATTATTGGCTTATCAACAGGCTAATTCTACTAAAGATCTTTAATTTTTCTTGACTTGAAAAGGTGAAAGAAGTAACTGGAACTATATTAACAAATGAATTCATCAGCCAATGTTAATTTGTAATAAATGAAGTCATGCCATTTGTCATGTACTGATTCTTTTTTCATCCTTTAATATTCTGGTTTCTGACCACCACCAAATCTTTAGCACACACTGACCTAATCAAACCTAGATAGTATACTTTCCTGTCCCCTACTTATTCTCTTCACCTTCGAAATGTCACTTATTTCAACTGCTCTGTGTGTGTGGACTAGCATAGGTAATGAACTTCATGTTACAGATGCCTGTTTTAGTTCTACTTCAACCTACTACTTCAGACAAGGTTGTGGCTTTTCTAGCTATGGTTTCAGTCTTCATATTACACTTGAATCTTCCATATTGGCCCTCCCCTTCCAGCCTGTCAGTACATTTTCAAATAAACCAAGGGAGTTTAACAATTCATGCCACTTCTCTTTTAGGTTTACCCTAGGAGATATTCAGCACAGCATTTAAATCAATTAATCCAACAAACATTGATCACATACATATTGTACTAGATATTGGGTTTGGCACTAAAGATACAACAAAAACATAAGGTACCTGTCTAGATGGAGGCAATTAATTATGAACCAAATTTTCTATGGCAGAATTAAGAAAAGATACTGGCAGCAAAGTAGTAACCAATTGTTTGCATTCATTCATTATTAAATTCATTTTGCTACAATGTATAAAAAATCTACATGCCAAGTCACAAATATAAAATTGGTAATGTTCTACAGATGTGTATTCCTGTCTCATTGGTCCATTACAGTGCCCGTACATTATAGTGTTCTGTCAATTAGCTTATGAAAATAAACATTCCTTTACCTATTTATTAAATTTTTCCTAAAACATTTGGGAGACATGTATGAAATTCACAAGTATTCATAAATGCACATCAAAATGGCAAGTCTTTTTCCAGAGTAGAAATTAAGAGTTTTGATTAAAAGTTAATTATAAAGAAACAATTTTGTATTTAAAAACCATAAATCACCATGGTAATATCTTTCGGATATCAATACAGTTCCTTAATAATTTTAGGTTTAGAATAGTCTATTCTATTGATTAAATTATTTCTAAAAAATAACTCATTCCTCCACTGAATATTAACCTTATATTTAAATGGCTCAAACAATTATATCTATGTGGATATAGTAGAATTCTCTTTGCAAAAATTCAAAGCAAACTCACTTCCTCTCTGTCTCTCAGTTGCTAAAATTTGTAAAGCTAAATTAAAAGACTTGATTGCTTCTGGCAGTTTGGTAGGCAGAGAGAAAATGTGAATATAATCAGTTCTGTAAAAAATACTGCATTGTATGCAGACCTGTAAGAAAGGGTCTCATGCAATAAGTCCCTGTCATCAGTTTCATCCCTACCCTACAGTTACGGAATTTGCAAAAGAATATTTCCCACAGTTCTTATTTTATTCTGAAGGTGTCCAAACCCTTGATTGTATTTTTCTCAAATTTAAAAACCAACATTCCACAAGCATTCTCTCCCCATTTTCATTTGTGCATGTCTGTGCTGTGTTACTGCCAGTGCCTAAGCCAAAAACATTGAGATTTAGGAATTTTAGGAGCTATCCCACTCTGTCTCTGGTAAATCCTCTCACCTCCTCTCCCCCCACCAGCTGTGGCCTACACCCCAGCTCTGTAGCAGAAATAGATTTTTTTAATTAATTTATTTATTTATACATGCACTGGGTACACTCAGAAGCGCAGGAGGGTGAGAGAATCCACCAGAGCCAGAGCCGGGAACAGAAAAGGCAGACTGACGAAATACACTGCTGAGGGGAGCAGCAGGCGGCAGGAGAGGTCTGTGTGCCATGTGGGACACTTGCTGGCAGCTGGGGATCAAACCGGTGCTGCAGAGGCTGTGGGCAGCTTTGCAGCCCAGCACTCAACCGCAGTGCCACCAGGGGAGGTCCATAAATAGATCTTTTTAAAAAATGAATTTTAGGAGCTACACTTTCATATTTTCTTGTTATTTTTTGTTTAAATATTTATTTATTCATGCATACATGAGCCAGGGTACAGGCCAGATGTGCGGGAAGGTGAGTGGATTCACCAGAGACAGAGTGGGGAAAAGAACAGGCAGACTGACCGAAACACACTGCTGAGGGAAGCAGCGGGAGACAGGAGAGGTCTTCCGCACCATGTGGGTGTCTCCCTATCTGGCCAATCAAACCTGCGCTGAAGAATCTGCAGACAGTTTCACAGCGCTGCACTCAACCGCCTGTGCCACAAGGGAGGCCCCCATACTTTCTTGTTAATGATATAGAAGAAAATAACACCAAGTCTGAGTTAGTTCTGAACTTAATATGTGTGGAATCTTGAGCAAGTCATTTTATTCTTTTTTTTTTATTTATACAAGAACTGGGGTACAGGCCAGAGATGCAGGAAGGAGAGAGAATTCACCAGAGATAGAGCGGAGTGCAGAACAGGCAGAAGAATTGAAAACACTGCTGGGGGGAGCAGTGGGTGAGACAGGAGAGGTCTGCAGCGCCATGTGGGTTTCTCCCTGGCCAGCTGAGAAGTGAACCTGTGCTGGAGAGGCTATGGACAGCTTCACAGCGCTGTGCTCAACCCACTGCACCACCAGGGAGACCCAAGTCATTTTATTCTTTCATTCATTTATTATTTATACTCTGTGGTTCCCAAAAGGATTTGTGATGTTACCATAGACAATATCGGAACAATGAAATCATCAAATCCAGTTTTAAGAACAAGTGGCAAATAAAGTAGGGTGGGAGTAGACAGTTTTACCAGAAGACTTAAATTATGAGTATTTACTGCCTTGAGCATTGTCATGCTTCCAGAGGACATAATAATACAACACATCACAGTGATTCATTAATTTCTTAAAATAATGCCAGTTCATAGAAAAGGTACAATTTCTATAACTTTTAACATGAAAAATATATATTCAATAATTATTTCTGTAATAAAACTGGAATCCAACAATGTTGTAAATATATTTTTAAATCAAAGTCACAGAAAA